CCGAGTTCAGCAAAGCACGCCAGTCGTTTCTCCTCTGTGCCAACTGACGCCAATTGGAAACGCCAAGTGAACCAAAATCGCTTAGGCGGTTACAGCGCCAAAAAAGAAGAAGAAGAAGCGTTCAGCGACATCTGCCTTTGAATTGCCAAAGCCTAAGTAAAAGGGCAATTTATTCCTTTTCTTACAAATGGCGGCGGTGGCGTCGCGTGAAGCCTACCACAGGTGCTGATTCTGAGATCGCGGGTACGAGTCCGCTTGGAGGTGGTTAACATTTTTTCAAATTAAATTAATGTAAGTGAATACATATAATTATTTCATTATAAATATACTACATTACAAATTTTTAAATCTAATTTCATTGCAGAAAAAAACATACATCTGAAAAAAATACTTGTGCTATACAAAAATTTCAATTTTTTTATATTTTTTTATTTAGGTTTGTATTGTAATTTTTAAATTTAATTAAAAAAATATACACACATATTTAAGTAGGTATATAAAATTAAAGTCAACAAAAAATTTAAAAAAAAATTCCCTGCGCCAGGACTTGAACCTGGGACCTCAGGAGTACTACGCCAGTGTTTTTCTCTATGGCTCATTGCGACTGGGTCACGGGCATGAATTGGCAGACTGTCTAATCAACTGGTATGACGCTACTAGTATTTTACTAGTAGGAGCTGACGCATAGCCTGACAATTGACATCTTGTACGACATGGCCATGTTAAAAATACCAGTCGCTAACACTGGAAAAGGATAGAACATGAACAAGTTGAGCTGAAACACAAACTGGTAGTATTCTAGTTCATAACTATTAGCTTTGCCTGCAGGGCACGTATGTATGTACCTTCATACAAACACACTTACGATGTTGAGGCTGTTGAGGTAAAGGACTTTCCAATTTCAAATAAATATCAGTGCACATGTAATGGAATTNGTGTTGTGCACTTACTCAGAATGTCCAGCTTACTTTCTAATGACTTCTTGGAATTATTCGCATCGTAATATTTAGGATTAAAAGTAGATACCAAAAGAAACCCAAGTATAAGTTTTGATGTTAGAAAAGGGCGCATATTTTAAACATTTAGAGGATGTACCGTCGCCGTCGCGGTTCGAAAACACACAGAGCTTAACTATAAGTAGATATGTATGTACGAGTAAGTATACCTTCTATAAAGATATATATTTTCCTTTGCTAAACACCGGTTATAGCCACAACCAGCGTCTTAAAATCCGCAAAACGACCGTCACTTAAACTTTTCCCCATTTTATGATTTTCTTTGAGAGGAGTCATCACTTAAACGTCTTTGCATGTAAACCCTTCAATATTGGTTGTTCAAATTAGATTACTATGTATATACATATGTATGTATGTATGTGTGTGGCGTAAATCCCCTGCGGGAAATGTATAAGTTAACTTGAAGTTGATTACGAAAAAACTAAAGGTCACTATTACCTGTATATTTTCTTTGAGGAAAGCTAACTATATTTCTATGCCGATGGCCGCAAAAGAGTCAAGGGTGGCTAACTCTGCATAAGATGTCAACTAACTTGTAACTAACTACTTTTGGACATAAAATAACAATAAGAAAACCAAATATATAATTTTTTTGGTTTTTTTTACTTTTTTTATTTTCTTTATTTTATTACATTTCATATTTGTTAACATATTCTGCTGTAGATGGTCCCATATTCGAACTCCGTCAGACATAAATTGAAAATCATAACATAAAATTTCGATCTTGCTTTTATTTGTCCTCAATTCGAAAAAGTATTTGTGAAGTGCAGAAATAAAGAGTATTCAAAGTAAAATTTGTATGAGGTTATTTAAATAGAAACTTCTTTAAAGTCAATCGCCCGATTACGTCTGCAATACTACTGCATTACTTGTCAACTAGTTTCAAGTTAGCTTTTTATAGTCAACTACAAGTTATATATTTTACAGAAATCCCGCCATAAGGCTTACTATAAGTGGTTTTTTTTAAGTCAATTTATAATTTTTTTTTCTGCAGGGCAGCTTAATAAACAAACGCGCTTATGTGCATTTAAAGTTGTATTTTAACGCCTAACTAAGTATTTGAGCTACTTGAGTATGCACATGAATTTACGACCTCGTTATAAACACACAAATACGTACAAACTTTTGACAGTACCGTAACCTTTTTTGGGGTTAAAACTAAAAATTATGCCAATGGTTATTCGCAGAATGGATTAAAACAATCCACACCTGCCGAAAGTAATTATTCTCTATGAAAGTTTATTTGAATGCTAGGTAGTTATGTATGTGAATATTTTGCACTCTGTTTCAATTTCTTAGCCATCTTTAGTTTTTGTTTAATTAATTGTCAAAGGGCAGTAAAATACCAGCCATAACCATAACTAGCACACGCTGCCGAATACGCTTTTACCGCAATGATTCACTAACTACGCCATATAAATTATACAACACTTAACAACTTAATTACGTGTAGGCCTGTGAGAGTTTGATGAAGGTCAGATTTTCGCTTCTTGATTAATAAAGGTCTAATAAAATGCAGAATTATTGACACAAATAAAATCCCATTTTATAGAGAATGAATATTTAAAGTTTACATAAGTAAGCTCAACTAAGTTTATTCATATTACTTAAATATTTCTCCATAAAGATTTTTATTGAGTAAAAAGTGGGTTTGGTAGATAACTTACTAAAGTGGCTCGTATTTTTATGCTGTGAGCTAGCATATTTCACATCACCGAAAGCATGCCCCTCAACATCCGTATGTATGTATGTATGCGCTTCAGGCGCATACAAGGAAGGGAAGACATGTTTATATGTTATACATGGTCTGATGTCATTGGAAAATTTCATTTGCCTGATATCCTGATCCTGGTTCTATCTATGAGTTTACCTATTTTTTTGAAGTAGGATATGTCTTACGTTTCAATATGGAGGCTATGTTGTAGTTGTAATTTTTAGAGCTTCACGAAAACGCTTACTGCACGAGAGCTAATGAAGCGATTTCAAAAAAAGGTTTGGCGTTTCAAAGATAAAGTTCCAAGCCAAGCGACAGATTCATTCTTGTAAGTAACCAATTCGCTTTCTGTTGTAGAAATAACGGAAAATATTGGCTTATTTCGGGGTCAATTTTGAGCCTTTAAAGTGCTCTAGTAACTTATAATTTGCAGATGTTACTTTGATATTCAGAATATAGGTTTTTTGGAGCAATAGAAACATTATCCTGTACAAATTTTATATAAATTTAACAAATATTGAGCATTTTACTTCAAAAAATTTTTGAAAAAATTTACAAATGTATTTTATTATTAAAATGCTCGAAAACCGCTTGAATGATTTTGTTTTTGTTTTCTTTAATCGAAAATTCAAGGTTTTTCCTTTCGTTTGGTATATGTATGTACGGTGATAACTCGTCCTGTATTATACGGAACCGTCCCCTTTTTTCGTCAATTGTTCCGGTAATTTATTTATTTCATACGAGACGCCAAATGTTCAGGATTTATTTAATGTCCCGTATTTGTCCCGACGATATGACGAAAAATTTAATAAGGCGACCCCTGAGTTCAGCAAAAAAAAATATAAAAAAAAATCGAAATTGCCTTCCAAAAATACTCTAGACTCAGGAATGTGCCGCAAATTCATTTTCTAATATCTACTATCAAATTTTCATACATAGATATTTATAAATCAAATATATAAGCACCGGTTATGTCTTTTAGTATTCACTCTTATCTAAATGAAAAGAACTATTTAGCAAATTTGATTTAAGAACTCAATTCATATGTCTTCTCCAACCAACTCTCAAGGGCAACCGCATCTAATTAATGACCAAACGACTTAACAGTAACGTATGTATACATATGTATGTACATCATTTAAAGACGTAAATATGCAAATACAAGCTTATGTTAGCAAATATGAGCTCATACTTACAAAAGCATAAATAAAGTACTTTATCATGTTGTAGAAACACAATCATTTACATATGTACCAGTATGTAAATACATACATACATATGCAAATTAATCCTTTTTTTTGAGTATTTTGAATTTGACAGCAAAACAAATAAAACATAAGGCTCAACACAAGCACACCACATGCCTTCCACTCCGTTGTATGTTTGTGCTATTAGCTAAGAAGGCTAGAGCCTCAAGAGAAATCATTGTAAGACGCACCCACACATTTCATATGCATGCTTTACACATGCACACACAGGGACATCATTATAGATTCTTTACCAAATCGGTCCCAAAGTGCTAAAATAATATGGACCCCTAGCTGACGCAGCGCTTGGTATGAGAGAAGTTCATTTGCTTTCACTGTTATAGTTAGTAGCTGTAGTTTTGTTTTTTTTTGTTGTTGTTATTGTGGTTAGTTTTCTATTTGCCATTTTTTCGCCTTCTTCTTTTCTTTGTAAAAACTTCAAATTGCTTTGCGGTCTGATGGTCGACCTGCCATTAGGCTAGTAGGCATTTGAGGCCTAGGCAGTGTCTTAAGTCCCTAAAGAGTATAAATCGACTGTGGTTGGTTTTACAGACAGACGCACCAAAAAAACGTATGAATGTACAAAGGCAATGCAAATGTTGGTCACGATAACTCAAATGTGGTAATACTGGTATGTTTATGCGTTTTTATTTCAAACATGTGTGCGTTTAGTTTGCATGTTTACACATGTAAATATGTGTGGACACTCGAATGTAATAAGGAAAGTTATAACTATAAAACAACTTGCCTATTTCATACATATGTACACATGTATGTATATACATATTGGTGGTAAAAATAATTCAAATTGGATAGTTTGTATGTTTCTATACATATACTTACATACATATCAAAATAGTTGTCTTTTATTTTCTCTTTGTCGAGCGAAAGCTGCACTTGTCATATGACAAAACGCGAATGTCCCAAGCGATTGTCGACAAATGGAATAAATAAAAATATATCAGAAAAGTTTTGGGTAAATCAACAGAATGGATTAAGGAAAATTTCGAAACTACTTATCATAAATAAATGCACTAATTAAGGCGTTAAAGTGGCACAGGAAGTTTTCCAAAATATACGTCAAATAATGGGAACTTTTCTCCACGCCCCACTGTGCTTCCATATAAAATGTAGGCAAAAATAGAATTATGGTAAAATTGGGGACGCTAAATTCAAAAATGCAATTTATTTTTGAATAACTTTCATATTTTCACTGTAAAGGCAGTTTGAAGTTCAAAATTTGGATTCTTGTGGTATATAGTTCGTTCCATTTTCAAAAGTGAGACGTCAAATGACAGGGCTTGTCCTTTAGATGTGCAATAAAGGTTTAATTTTTTGAAACGGGTTGCCACCTGCTACAAATTTTATTAAAATTATTTAATAAGTTAAGTGAACCAGATATTACAATATGGGTATCAACTGAAATGGTTTTTAAAATGCTTTATTTTTAAATGACACGTAGAGGGGTGGCCACATGTTTAAAAAATCAAATTCACTTTAATTAAGGAAATGAGGTAACAGAAATATGTATATGATCATAAAAAAGAAAAAAAAATAGACAAATTAAGCAAGAAATAAGTCAAGAGAAAAAACATAAATTTGTTAATTTAAGAGTCCAGTAATTTGAAAGGAATGTAATCAGAACAAATCACTGATTGACAATGTAATATTTGTAATAAAATAACAAATACGATATCTTAAGCCTTTGGTTTGACACAATTATTATTTCAGTTTAACTAAATTTTACTTTACAAATAGGTGGCAACCATCTTCGTAATATTTGCAAGCTAAAACCTCCTTCAACCTCTTTCGCCCGACTCCTATATGGTGATACCTATCTATTTGAATAACCTATTTCCTTTAACTCCAATGGAATTTGATTTCTTTAACATATGGCAACCCTCTATATGTAGTTAGGAAATAAATCCTTTTCATGCACACTTCGATTGATACCCATCTCTTAATAATTCGTTTAATTTATTAAAAAAATTTAATTTAATTTTTTAATAGGTGGCAACTCTTGGAAAAAAAATAAACAAGCTTATCGCAATCGCGTAATGCGTCCTCTCTCTTTTTAAATCCGAAAATGCATCTTGCTTTCTTCCTCAATTTATGATATCTGACCTACATAGCTTGCGTTGCGTCTGACCGCAGCGTGGCCTTGTAGACGGCCCGTTTTTTAACAGCGGTGGCACAACAGTCCCAGCGCACCTGTTGATCTTTCTAGGTCGCTGAATTCGCGACAGTACGTAATGAGCGAAAATATGGTCCAAATGCTCGCATATTTCGGAGGCGTACTCTCAGAGAGACGAGTTGCAAAGTTGCTATCTGTCTATCAATAGTACTAAAATTATCATCCGTTTTTGACAATTGGAGGACAAGGAACTGTATATAACATTTTTTTTAACTATGAAATTTGCTTATAAACCATCTTTCTTTAAAAAAAAAGTGGGTGAAAAGACTTAAATAGATGTTTCCGGAGCGCTAGACTAATGAGAATCAGTAGCATAAATGCATTAAACAAAATTCTCAACGGCAGTGTTGATCATCCGACTGACTCTCCGCCCAGAAACTGATTTCCAAAGTTCAGGCTATTCTACCAGCACTGGATTTTCAAGCCTAAGTAGTACGAAAACCCAAAAATAAGTAGGTTGGTAATAAAATACAAACTTACAGACATACATAAGTACGTACACACATACATACATATACATACATAGGTATGTATTTACTTTCAATTTATATTTTTTTCTTTTTCCCCCACAACCACTTTGGTTTAGCAGTTGCGGCGCAAATTGCTGTTGAAGCCGACGCTCATCCCCCCGATACGCCCTAACAAGGGGACATAGACGCAAAAAAGAACTGCTCAATTTAAATTGACAACAATTTGTAGAAAATCAATGTCATTCTCTACAAATTTGCAAGTACAATTTACACGTTCTTTTGTCGCTTGGCGATGTGGCAATATACACATACATATATAATGTATCGATAACAAAATATTTTTGCGAATGTGTTTGCATATATTATTTATTGTTTGTGTTTTTTTTTTTGTCATATGCTTCCACTTTGCTGCTAGCACACTTGTCTTGTTCTCTTTCTTGCTTTTTTTACACGTTTGCTCTGTTCTATGGCGCACAGCATTTAACCAGCGTTTGGACTATGCTGCTCTTTGTTGTCGGTTTTTTTTTTTCATTTTGTAGCTGCTATTGGCAATACAAGGCTATTGTTACATATCGTGGGTGTTTATTTTTTCGCTTCTCGCTTAATACTGCTGTCAAAATGGTTGTTACGCTTGTTTCTACACAGTTTCAATTTTCTATCACTTTTTCTTACATTACACAAGTAGCATTTTTTTTTGCTGTTGCTCTTGTTTGCCTGTCAGCGGTTTTTTCTTACAAAGCTGTCGTTAGTTAGTTAGTTCCTTTTTTAAAGCATTTAGCAAGTGACTATCTTTATTTGTAAGCAAAGTCGAGGCGGTCATGGCGTATACGTAACGTATCTTTGTACATATATGCAATGTGAGCAGTCAGTCACCCGCAAAGAGCAAAAAGCGCACAATGTACATACATACGTATGTACATACAAATGTTTGCACGTCTGCGAATCAGAGCTGATATGCCTGAAGCATATTTTAGATTTTGCTTGGCATTTTTTTTTTTTTCGTTTTTTGTTATCTCTATTCTACTTCTAAAGCTTTGTCGCACACAATGTAACCATATACACGCCGCTGTCTGCGTCTGCTGGCATATTTGCAAATCCATGTGTGACAAAGTCTTCTTAGCAAAAAAGATAAGCACAAAATAAAATTCGACAAATAAATAAAAATTTCAAAATAAAGTAAATACAAATACACTAGGCGTCACTAGAATGAGTTTTTCAAAACATCTGTTGCTCTGTTTGAAGCACAATTTTGTCTCAAAGCACTAGTTAGGGTGTCTACCAATTAAATTTTTTGTTAGGGGTATAAGTTCATACGACGCGCAACCGTAACTGAATAACCTATTAGGAAATTACCGTGCGTCCTACTAATCGGCCGCAAGAGCTGAAAGTTTTACTAGGGAGCAAAAGGTATATCTCCGAACAGATACTTAAGAGTACTCAATACTAAATATATTTGAACGATTCTGGTACAGCTAAGCTTATTCAAATTTAAAAAATGCTTTGAGTGTGGTGCCATAAATATCTAGTATGCAGTTAGCAAAGTTATGCCACCTTATCTACAACCAAATTCTGGTTTTTTAGTTAATATAAGTTTTAACTACTAAGAAAAGTACTCGATATTTCTTACACCTATTTTCTCCATAGCTTTATTTCTTCCTTGCTTCCATCACGCTTATTTTCTACGATTTACACTACGATTTTTTCTACGAAGTACTACTTAGAACTCCATTAAGGACGCAAGATGCACATCGCTTAAAGAAATGCCCTATAGTAGGGTGTCATTCCCTCGGCATTCGGTCAGCCAGCAGCGCCATTTTAATCAAACTACAGTGCCAGTTACTGTCGAAATTCGACCGTTTTTCTAGTTTTTAAGAGTTTTAGAGAGGTTTTCCAACTTAACACGTAGCTAGACTTATATGGTACGAAGTAACTTACCCGAAAATCTTCTGCTTTGAAACTAAAATGTGACTAAAATTTTTTATATTTTTGAAGGACTTCGGCAGGACTTGGAATTGACCCGATGCATATCGATAACTCGATGAATTTCAAAAACACTAAAATCCGATTACTCAACAAAATTCGATAATTCGACTCATTTCGAAAACTCTAAAGTTCGAAGACTCGATAAATTTCAATAACTCAAAAATATATATATCTTTGGATACCTTTAAAAGTTTTTAATTTTGACGCTCCATATTTTTCGAAAGCTATCGAACAATTTAGATAACTCGTTTCACTCTGTTATTACCATAAAATGCGATGAGCAGTGATAACTCGATAAACGTATATAAACCTTAACTTTCGATAAATCGATATATTTTGAAAATTCCATAAACTTCGATTCGATAACTAGACCAACTTAAGTAGATCAATAATTATCGACAACTCAGTAAGTTGAAAGAACTCGATGCATTACGATAACTCGATAAACTTCTTTAAGTCTATAAATAATGATGATTCAATAAATATCGATAACTTTAACTTTAAAATTTTCGATAATCCCATAAATTTTTAAAGCTCGATAACTATCCGTAAATTTCGACAACTCAATAAACATTGATCAATTTGAATAATTCGATACCTTGCGATAACTCGATTCATTTCGTTTTATTTAAGTTGTTCATTAAAAAGTGAAAAAAGATAATTTTCCTACCTCAAAGGTTCATTGTCAATGGAATTTCCTTTTCAATAAATTTTAATTTAGGTGACTGTCCAACAGCAGCGGTCCAAACTGACGAACGGTTGTAGTGCCAAATAGAAGAAGGAAGATTTGGCACAAATGAAAAGTAGTTGCAGAGAATGAATATGGAGCCTGCCCATAGAAACAGTTGAGGCATTCTTTACTAGTATTCTACCCAATCTTAAATAAGTGAATCAAAATAAGGACATCTTAATATGTAAATAGCTACACTGAAATATACTTGTTGCTAGCTTGATACACTTATTAACGCTCAAGATTCTGAATTTTTTTCGGAGAATAATAATTGTATTATTTGACTTTTTACACACAGTTCATAGCTATTACACTAACAACATCATCGGGATATTTACGATACTGTGTAAGTCTTGTGATTTTAAGATCTACTTACCACTTACTTACTTACTTACTTCTTTTTTAAGGTTAGTGTATTTTTAATAAAAAGTTAAAGGCAGTTGCAGTGCCACTTCTTATAGAAGCTATAGTAAATATTCTCAAGTTCCTTAAATTAGAAGTAACTATAATTCAAACCCCGCCAAAAGACGTACCAAGCAAAACTTAAGCAAAGCAGCAAAATGTTAACCCTTGCCAGCTAAAATAAAGTCTTAGCCAAGCGCAAAATAAAAATTTTAAAGGCGTTCAACAATTCAAAGTTTATGCACGCACACATGTCTACATATACTGCGACCTTTAAAATAAGTATTTGTGTACATACATTGAAGTATTTGTGTTTAAAATAAAATCAAATAAAGGATATGTATAAATAAACAAACAAATAATCTAAACGAATCAACAACAAAATTTTCAACATATCATTTTGTTAGCTTGTACGTAGCACTGGTGCCACATGGCAACTGTACGCTTGCAGCTGTGACCGGCTGGATCCTTACAGCAATGTCGCCCACAAACAGTTTATCTGCTTTGACAAATTTAGCATATTTTCGTTACAACCACTGTCCTTTTTAACCTAAAAAATTTATATATATGCACACATGCGCGCACATACGTACATACATACATACATATGGCTCAATCCATGTCAAATCGACCATTTTTGATTTGGATTATTTTTGGTCAGAACTTTTCTTTTATCGTATAACGAAATTCGGCCAAGGGAAAGATAATAAACTTTTTTTCGAAACTTTTGCTAAATTCTAAAATTTACAACTGCCGGGATTTTCCAAGTTTATTTTTTGAATATCTTAAAAAATATATTTAAAAAATTTAAAAAATTAAAAAAAAAAATTTCGAGATAAAAAATCGTTAAATCAAAAACTTATTAAAATCTTTGGCTATCTTTTTTTTTACAATACCTCCAACTGCTCTTAAAATACCGTGCTATTTTCATGAAGCGGTTTTTATTAGAGATATGAATTTTTGAACTTTGAAAAACATTTTTTTTGCAAACTCTAACTAAAGTTAGGTTGAACAATTTTTATTTAATTTAAATTTTTCAGTAGTTTAGAGTTTTCAGTAATTTTTTTTTCCAAAGTTCGAAAATTCAAGTCTTTAAAAAACCGTCTGCTAAATTCTGGGATCTTTTAAGATCAGTGAGAAGTACTACATAAAAAAAAAAAAATTGCCAAATATTTACTTATATAATATTATGCTTTTATAATTTTTTTATTTTCCAAATTTTGCAATTTTTTTATTTTCGGTTTGTTTTTAAGTATATTATTTTATATATTTAGCCCGAAATATCGCACTTAAAACGAGACCATAAACATTTTTGTAACCATATTGGTTTTTAATATTGGTTAATAATAAGCTTGCAAAATTCGGGAAATTGCAAAATTTTGAACTTTCTAATTTTTTTATTTTTATTCATCCAAAACAAAAAGTGGTCGATTCCCACCATTGCTCGGTTTGACATGGGTTGGCCCATATATATTTGTAGTACATTGTGCGCCTAGATTACACACTCATTCGTGGATATATTTAAGGCGCATTTCTTAATCTCATTTCGCAGTTGGCAGTAAGCTGCTGCTGCTGTTGGTGACGACGCACACAATGGCCACCAATTGTTTTTTTTGCTCTTTCAACATCCAACAATAGTTACTGCCGCCGTTTTTATTGCTATTGTAGCTCACTGATTTTACATATTATTTTTTCTCGATTTCTTTCTTCATTTTTTGTACATTTATTTATGTGAATATTTGATAAACCCGACGCACACGCTCCTGCAAACGTTAGTAAGTCGGTTTTGACTTTAAAAAATTTGTGCCCAGCCTGTGTGTGATTTCACATACATACATCCATACGTGTATACATACTTTGATTCAATATGTTGACAAACAAACGTTTTTATGTACACACATGTGTGCGCAGTACGTGTTTGCATATGTTTGTTTTTCTTTTCATTATTTTCTGTGTTTTTTTTTTCTTTTCGGACATTTCCGGTTTCCGTTTCTTAATATGACTTTTCATTGTTGACCATTTTCTCATTTTATTTATTTTACTTAGTTTTTGCTGTAAACCGTTATGTGCGTACATATATATTTATATTTGTCTGTACACTTCAGCTGCAGGCTTCTATTGTCGGCTGACCAACATCCTGAATTGCCTGTAAGTGTTGAGTGTGCTGAGATTTAGTATTTTATCGGTGCCCTGGGTTCTCTTTTATCATTGTATCGAAAAATTGTGTACATTTAAACTTTGTCAATTGAAATTTGTAGTCCGAGTATTCATAAGGATATGCATTAGGAATGTAAATCCCGAGATTTTCGGGATTTGTAATTTGCACTGTTGGCAACAATAGAAACTTCTTTTCTGGACCAGTATTGGCTATATTTCTTTTTTTTATTTAATAATTAATATTTTTTTATAAATGTTTAGCTCATTATACATATAAAACCGAGCGATAGTAAATTTTAAACACAAGTATCAATTTATTCGCGAAACCATGGGCCAAATATAGTAAAATGCGTTTTTAGTTTTTCACTCTGATGTCAGTAATTCAAAAATGATTATATGTTAAGGACTTATATAAACTCGATAACATCCTCGAATTTCGTCCTTCTAACTTTATCAGCTTAAAATATTACCTATTCGTTCTTGTGAATCCAAAAACTTGTAATTTTTTTAATTCTAAAGAAGTTTCCTCTTGCATTTGGTACCCATATTTTTATTCTACATTGCTTTGAATTTTTGGAATTAATCCTATCTTTGAAATAACAAAGTCGTTTAAAATAAATCCTGACGTCAGAGAGAACAAATAAAAAACTTTAAATAAAAAAGTAAATTTCAAACCTATTTATTTATTATTTCGCTAGCTTAGAAAGAAAAGTTGCTAAGTCCCATTTTAAAAATTTTACAGGAGAGGAAAAAATCTTTCTATAGCCATTTTCTTTAACTATTTCGCAAGACTTTGAATCAAACATTTTGCGCGTTTAAAGCAAAGCAAAACTCCATAAGAATCAGAAGGATTCGATATTTATTAAAAGATGTCGTATTATTTTGGCCTTATCGGATTTGTGGTGCTTCTTTTGGACTTAGCAAATTTTCCTTTTTTTGCTTCTGAAGAGGAAAAAATAAAACAAGTACCTTTACAATTTTCGAAACGATGCGAATTCAATTTCTCTAGCCTCCCATATCAAAATATGAGTTTTCATAAAAAGTGGACTTAGCAACTTTTCACTCTAAGCTAGCGATTTATTTTATGGTAGGAGAATATAGAAGCAATTGTTTCGATTTACATTGTTGAAAAATAATGAGTCTCTAATTCCCGGGACTAATCCCGGGATTGCGATAATGACATCCCGAAAATCCCGGGGGTGGAATGAGCTGAAAAATTAACATCCCTAATAAGTATACATATTTTCTTTACACAGCAACTAAAGGAAATTTGTATGTACCTCAACTAAAAGTCTATTCTGTTATTCGAAAATAGCAATATGTATATATGTTAGTAACTAATATGCTTTTGTATATACTGCCAATGACTTAAGTGCATATTCGGAAAAAAACAGTTGCGGTTCGTTTAACTTACTTGAATAGTAGGCTGCGTCACGATCCTAAAGGTGCTGGTAAACGATGAGAGTAACTCTCATGGGAATTTTCATGACCCAAGAAACACTGGAACAAAAATTTTCAAAAGTTTGAGAAAATCGTATATCTTAATTTGATTTTCAGCATTGTTTATAATTTGAAAATAAACATTTTCTCTAATTCTCAAACATTGTTTATCAATTAAAGAACGGTTTAAGAAACATTTGAGAAAAAATTGTTTAGCATTCCGTTCCGTTCAATCTGTGTCAACATAGCACAGACGTCGAAGTCCATCGGTAGTCTGCTACATCAGTCGCAAAATGGATCTTCGACCACGCTATTAAACTATGCAACTAATTTTTTAGATCAACGTATTTATCTTTGCTAAACTAACTGAATAAATAAACTATTAAATAAACTGTTAAACTGTATAAATAAAAATTCCTTTCTGATAAAAACTGTTTTACTCTTACATGTATCATTGGCAACACTATACAAATATTTCAATGAGAGTAACTGGATTTCATTTCGTTCCGCTCCACTCACGTTTGAGAAAAAGTTGAGAATTCAACATTTCATCAACGGTTATTTGAGATGCATTTGGCGTTCGAGATTTGAGAAAAGGATTGATTTTCAAATGCATCTCAATTTGATATTAAACAAAAATTTTTATTAGGGGGTGTTTACACGCACATTGATTCTCACTGG